TCCACATTATTTCTCTTCCCAACATGACCATTTAAATTGCCCCCTACAGATTAATCTCTCGTTCATAGAAACTCACATTATAACTTGGTCAAGATCTGCCCAAAAGTTTGTCTTTTCTTCTCCACTACCTAGCTGAGGAACACACACACACAATCATAATGAAAATTCCACCAATGTTTAACTTAATGCTCATAATTCTATCACACCTTCATTTAACCTCACAGATTCTGTCTTTTAGAACTTTATCAATTATGATACGAACTCCATGCCTTTCTCCCTTATTTGCTCCACTCACAAACAGCTTGTAACCTTCACCAAGTTCTTTAGATTTATTTCCTTTCCACCTTATCTCTTGCAGGCACAAAAGGTTCACTCTCTTTCTTTGCATAAGATCAACCAACTCTCTACTCTTCCCATTCAATGTTCCAATGTTTAAAGTACCTATTCTTATACTTGTCTTCTTCCTCTTCTCTCTCTGGACTAACTTCTTTATCTAAACCCATTGTGGCCGTCAGCCATGATATGTTATATTTTCCTATATTTTTTTTTATATTAGTATTAGACTTTCCTTTCTCTTTGTCTAAAACCATCTAGAACTTTCTTTTCCCTAAACCTTCCTATAATTTTCTTTGTCTGAACCCTTTTTGCCCTTGGGGGGATTACCCTTTTCGAAGAAATAAAGAACAAAGGAGAAGGGAGTGAGGCCCGGAGGCAAAAACAGAGAGAAAGAATATCAGATTGAGGGGAGATCTCGAGCAGGCAGGAGCGAACAGAGAGGTGCTCCTACAAGTGAAGTGATCTGAGACAAAGCGAACAGAGAGAAAAGAAAAAGGAAGGACTGCAGACGGAAAGTCTACAAGTGAGAGGTGATAAAAGACGACTCAATCCTGGAAGACGAAGATTGTAGACGAAAGGTCTACAAAATAAGAAGTGACCTAAGAACAAAAAGTGAAGAGACAGAGAGAGAGATCATTGAGGGGAGGCCTCTTAGTCCAAAGTGTTCTCCAACCAAGGGCTCACCGAACCTAAACCCGGGTATTTCCACTTCTTTCCTAGTCTATCTCTATATTCTATATTCTTTCTTCTTTAGTCATAAGTTAGTGTAAGTTAGATTAAGTAGTTTTGGTCCTCTTCGGGTTTTGTCGCATGAGTAATAGACAACTGTTTTCGAGGTGTACCATTGAGCACCGTATACGCGTAAGATTCGAAAAATTGTAAAGTTAGGATCAAATAAACGAACCTGTTCAGTGAGAAAAATAATACTTTGTGTCGTGAAACTTTTTTTTTTGTACCCTTTTCGCTCGCGGGATCGCGTACTTCTCTCACAGAACACCACACCATCCTTGGTTCAATAGCCCCAGTTCATTTGACATAGTTTTTGGGCAACATCTGGCTGCATAAAACCTATGTCAAAACTACATGGAATGTCTGCTAGACTACAAGTAAGTTATAACTGTGTTAGGACCTCCCCCCAAAGCGATGTGCAGTCATGTCGCCCAAAAACTATGTCAAATGAACTGGGGCTATTGAACCAAGGATGGGTTTAGATAAAGAAGTTAGTCCAGAGAGAGAAGAGGAAGAAGACAAGTATAAGAATAGGTACAGTACTTTAAACATTGGAACATTGAATGGGAAGATTAGAGAGTTGGCTGATCTTATGCAAATTTTATATATATATAAAATTTGTTCTAATATCCAAACCACAGTGGTTATCGAACTCTGTTCTATTCAAGTTCAAATTTGAATAGAACAGATGAAATCAATGTGTTTGAATGGATTGAAATCAATTGATGAAACATCAGTGTGTTTATTCACATTGCTATAAAGTGAATTTTGACAACCAAAAATAATTATATACTTTTAAAACAATAGCCTAACCTGACTATGCAATGTTTTATTTTGTTTACATATAATACCATTACTTTCTGCAATTTTTAATATTATATCAAAATGAAATATATTGTCATTTAAAATTTGATTTATTCGCTTTATTTTTTAAACTCTAATATAAATTGAAATTTCTGTACAGTAAAGTGACATTTGTATATATCATAATTAAGGTTAGTTTTTTATACTTTTATCAAAAGAAAATCATTTCTTTTTTCTCCTATAAACTAGGAAACTAGTAAACTGAAAATCAACAGAATTTTATTATATACATCACACCAGGTTACAAATTATCTGCAGCATCATTTTCTTCGTTCCTTAGTACACATAAGCTGATTAAATGCCATTCTCAGGTGCACATCCATGTGCATCATCTATCATTGACATTCTTGAAGGGAGCAATATTTTTTATTGATGAAAAGCTGCTTTAAACATCAACACTAGTTACAGGAACAGTCAGAGCAGTAAGAGCTAATGTGCTCAAAATTGGCATTTCTTTAGACCATTTCTGCCAAAAACTGAAGTTATCCTCAGACTACTGTGTTCTTGTATAGCAGCTTTATATTTTGCAATCTTCCAAACAGAAACAGGTTGCATTGAAAACTGTTGCAACTCAGAAGGTAGCTGGAATTCTGTAAAAGCACTAACATCTGCAATGTGTAGGGTTTAAATTCTTCACTTGCTTCTAGAACAAAATGCAAGGATGCTTTCCATCAGATATGTTGTCAATTTTTTATATGGAATGTTTTATATGGAATATCCTCAAGAAGAACTTGCACAGTTTTCATCAACATCTAAACACAAATTGCTGACATAGTAATGCTCTGTAACTCTTTTATTTAATTTGGAAGAGTTTCTGTAGCTAGAAAAACTCTTCTGAGTTAAATAAGTAAATTTTCAGAATTAACTCCCTTAAATCTACTGTACAAGCACAATTTTCTTCCTCTGATGTAATCCACTGTTTCTCTTTATTCATGTTTTCAGCATGGTATGATGCTGCCTGGAACCATGTAGGTAACCACATGAACAGGTACAGCAGTTGATTTTTCTGGCTGTAAACAATTCTGGAATGCTTGTCTTCTACTGGGACAGTTAGCCAAAGCTGTCTTAAAGCAAGTCTGGTTACCCATAATAAGTGATTATGAGAAACTAGTGTAACAATGAATGGTTGGATTGAATAATAACTTTATTAAACAAAAATATGACAATAATTACAACTTCAACAATTTACATTCCAATTTACTTAGTTTGCTAATGCGTAAATGCATAAGGTCATATGTGTGGATACATATTTCGTCACTGACAATATGTAATTTTACTTACAAATTAAGTACACAATATGTATGCATTTTAAATTTATGAGAGTAAAAGTATTAGAAGTGAAAATCAATAAACAAGAAAGGAAAAAGAAGAGGAGGGGAGCCGATACCACGAATAGATGTCACTTGTTAAGATATCCTCTGTTTCACTCACTTGAAAAAATATTATCCTCAAATTAACACATCTAGCTTATTTCCACATCTATAATGAGTCTTCTTGGTTACAGTTTAATGGGGATGGATTGAGCTAACTGGAGTTCATCTTGAAAATCCTGTACAGTACATTCTTCATACCATGATTCTTGTCCTGATGCTGGTCCTTGTACCCTGATTCTCATCCTATCGACAAGCACTGGCCATTGGGACCATATCCAAGATTGAGATTAAAAAAAAGGATAGTTTTCTCTTGTTCTCCATGGCTTATATACCCTTTCATGGGGGTCAACCCCCTATACATGTGGCTCCCTCCAACCAATCCAGTTGTCCAACTAACCTGAACCTATGTTGGGACAGATCACCAAGAGGGCACACCAACACATTTTACAATTTTCTGATGGAATTGGATTTTTCTGTAGAACTAGATGAATTGATAGAGTTTTTAAATCCATCAATTCATCCAATTCCACAGCAATGTCTATTTGTACACAACTCCAATCATTTCAGATCATTTTCTTCTTCTGATTTTGATATTTTTGAAGCATTGTTTCTGCAATAAGCTGATCCCCATTCTTGATGTTTTTGTTTATTTATTTTCAGACTGAATTGGAAGAATAGCATGCTGGTAGATGTGAATGCTTTCATCAAACTGCCCCATTTTGATTTGGTTTTCTTCTTTGTTACTTGCTGATTGGAACAATGACTACTGCAATCTTGCACTTTTACTTTGAACATGCTTTGCACTTTGAATGTGACATTCTATTATTGAGTTTTTGTTCCTCAAAATCCACAATCTGAAGGCAATATGAACACCATAAAGTTTCGTTTTCATACTGAAATCCTTCACCGGGAAACTGAACAATTATCTGTTTGGTGGATATTTTATCTTTTCTCATTTTCTATCCCTATTAAACCAGAATATGAAATAATGTCAATATAGCACTAATGTAAACTTCATATTACTTATTAATCAAAAGCAAACCATGTGATACTAATACAATCAATCAGAACCTTCAAGGCATACCAATGATTTACCTTGATTTACCGTATNGCCCAAATGGTTAGGAATAGAAAGTTGAAATTTGGTACACAGGGTATGTCATGGGAATGTACACTAAGAAGGGATTTTTCGAAATTCCCTCCCCCCATGGGGAGAGAGAGAGGGTGAGGGTTAAGGCTTATCCTGAAGAACTTGGCTTCTACTGTACTTATTAGATGTGGTTTTTCTGTTTTTGTGGGAAATTGAACATATTTTTAGACCCACCTAAAAATTATGTAATTAGTTTTAGAAGAGGAGGGACCTAATTCTTGCACCCATTGAAAATGGGTAAGACTGGCTATAAACTAATAATCTTAATCTTCTCTATCATTACTTTTTGCTCGAGCAACACTGGGCTCATCTGCTAGTTTATTAATAATAATGGTAAAAAATAATATTTTTAATTAATTAAAATTGTTTTAATTGTTTGTTTCTATGGGGTGGTAGATACACAGAAACTTTAAGTAAGAATTTATTTTATATTACCAGATACATATGTAACAGTAAATTATCACATAACAAACTCCTTTTATTTAAGCATGATAAATGTACTTACAACTAAAATTATATGATTGTACAAGTGATGGTAAATAAATAAGAATAAGAGAGAATATTAAGATGGTGGGCTGGTCTAAAGCAGTGAAAAGTACCTTTCTATGTAGATGATCTACAATAAATAATATTGCCTTTCTTAGTTTTGAGATTGCACTTTACTTCTCTGAATACCACAATCATTTCTTCTATTCACTTTCTTCACATCTCTCTCTTAATAAAACTTTGCTGCAGCAAGAAAATATTATTTTTAATATTTTTTGTTTTGTGATATTTATTTCTATTTATCTTTAAAGGATGGAGCAATACCATTAGCATGTGCTGCAAGTACAGGTCATTATAATATTTTAAAATATTTATTAACTAAAGAACATGACTCAATGGCTTTAATAGAAACTAGAAAGGTAATCAAAGAATCATTTATTTATTAGTATTTTTCTTAATAATTTTAAAATATTTTAAAACTATTTTTCTTTTTCTTTTCATGTAGTTTCTAGTAGATATAATGGCTTGTGGAAAACAGTATGAAAATATGCCAATTTTGGAATTTATAATAGCATCACCTGCACCAGTAGATACAGCTGTAAAAATGGCTCGAAGCTACCAATTGCTTGCTTTTAGAGAGAAAGAACGATCACGTGATTTAGAAAGGGCAGCATTGTTTTGTCAAAATATGGCTTTTGATTTGCTTTCCGTTATTTCAAGTAGTGAAAATGTTGGAACTGTTTTGCGTGCATTGGATTCTCGAAGTATGCCATTTTTGGATGTTCTGATCGAACTTCAATTAAAAGAAGTAGTAGCACACCCTGCCGTACAAAGCTACCTGTCCGAACAGTGGATGGGTAATTTAACTTGGGCCACATGGAAGATTTTATTATTGTTTTTACTTTTTCTTGTGTGCCCACTCACATGGCTTGCATTTACCTTTCCACTTAATCATAAATACGCTGATACTCCAATCATGAAATTTATGTCATATCTAGTATCTCATATATTTTTCATACTTATTGTTTGCTTTACAGTAATTAATCCTTGGTTTCCCATATGGACATCCACCACTCTTTATCCCCATCCACATGAATGTGCATTAGTAATATGGCTTGCTGGACTCCTGGTAGCAAATTTTACAAATCCAAGAGATCGTGAAGGTCTTGGTTGGATCAAAGCAGCCATGTTAATATTAGGAATATGTGCTATTGCTGTACACTTATTTGGATTTTTATTTTCTGATGAGAAAACTAGACAAATTATTATATACATTAGAAATCAATTCTTGGCATTTTTGCTGTTACTTGGATTCTTAGAATTTCTAAATTTCCTCACATTTCATCATTTGTTTGGACCATGGGCAGTCATCATTCAAGATTTAATGAAAGATTTACTTCGGTTTTTGGCCATTTTGACAATATTTTTAACAGGTTTCTCACTTCATTTATGTGCTGTCTATCAACCAGTTTTTCCACCCGAAGAAGGAATAACATTGCCCACATATGGTCAAGAATTTCAATCACCCATTAACACATTTGAAATGTTGTTTTTTGCATTATTTGGTTTAGTAGAACCTGACTACATGCCACCTCAGCATTTAAGTCCAGGATTTGCTAAAGTTATTTTAAAAATAGTATTTGGAGTATACATGATGGTTACTGTAGTCGTATTAATCAACTTACTTATAGCTATGATGTCTAACACATATCAAAGAATTGAAGCTCAGTCAGATACGGAGTGGAAGTTTGGAAGAGCAAAACTAATAAGAGATATGAATAAAATGCTTCCATCACCATCACCAATGAACATTATTGCAGTGTTCCCTTATATGTTTAAAAAATTAGTTGAAAAATGCAAAGGTAATTAATTTATGTCTTTGAAATCAATATATATGTATATGTCTACATTTAAAATTTATATTTTTTTATTTTATTTAGGGAAAAAACAATCATTGTATAGTAAAGGTATAGATTTACCTGGAGGAAAGGGACCACGACTCTGGTTTCGGAAAAAGGCATCAAGACAGCAAGTAGTACCTGTGGGTATGTTTGTATATTCAATTTTATTATCTATACTAATATTATAAAGAGGTAATGTTTGTATGTATGTATGTTAGTTTGTATGCAGCAGGTAATCTCCGAAACTACTCATCCGATTTCAAAAATTTTTTCACCAATATTTAGAATGGAACTTCAGAG